GGCCCACGTTCTGTATGTGAGCCCCTGCTTCCCGTGTGCGTGAGCACCACGCTCCCGTGTGCGTGAGCCCCTGCTTCCCGTGTGCGTGGGCCCCATGCTCCCGTGTGCGTGAGCCCCTGCTTCCCGTGTGCGTGGGCCCCACCCTCCTGTGTGTGTGGAGAGGCCCACGTTCTGTATGTGAGCACCACGCTCCCGTGTGCGTGAGTCCCTGCTTCCCGTGTGCGTGAGCCCCATGCTCCCGTGTGCGTGAGCCCCTGCTTCCCGTGTGCGTGAGCCCCACGCTCCCGTGTGCGTGACCCACACTGTCATCTGTATGGGGTCTTCTCTCCTTGCCAGGCCTTTCTGCCCGTGCGCCCTAAGCTGGGCAGGGCCAGGGCTCCTCCATCTCACCAGAGTTGCAGCTGCACGCCAGCAGGAGCAGGGCGACGGTGGCGCTGAGCTTCATGGAGGAAGCAGAAGAGCTGGTGTCCCAGGCCGGTGGTCTCAGAGTGTGTGCCTCCCTGGTGGTCCGGTGCCACTTATATCCGCTGGCATTGCCTGAGGGGGAGGCTGGGGAAGGCTCTGCCTATGAGGCTCTGTTTACCTGGGCACTGGCCTGCACATTAAGTAAATACTGATCACATGGAGTGCGTGGGGACTTCCTCACAGAGCCCAAGGCCTGTATGGGTGCTTCGAGGGGAGCCCAGATGCCCCTGGACCTGCCTCGTGGCCGAGATGCCTGAGCCCCAGGGCCCGACACAGGCCATGGAGGCTCCTGGTGTGGAGCCTGGTGGAGTCCTGCATGGCAGCATGGACTCACGCAGGGACAGAGGGGATGTGTGCCTGGCACCTGCCTGAGGCCCTGCTATGCCCGCCCAGAGCTGCCCTGAGTCTGGCCTCCCTCGGCCTAGCAAGACCGCCCCCCATGCTTCCGCACCCCAGTCTACAGCTTCTGCTTCCCCTTGGCCGGTGCTGCATGTTCCGTGGGTGTTTGCTCCTCACAGCGTGTCCCGCAGTGTTTGTTTCCTGGTCTGGCCTGTCCTGCTTGCGCCTCTCATCCTCCTCCTGTGGATGTGCTTTATCCTTGGCCTGGCCCCTGCTCGCTCCTGCCCTGCCAGGTCAGCCTTCCTAAAGCCCAGTCGTGCCACTCTGCCTTCTGAAGCCCCCCGATGACGTCCTCTTGCTGGGGGACCAAGCTCTCATGTGAGGGACCAGGCCCTGCTCGCCCCGCTGCTCCCCTTTGTACTCTGTGCCCTGCTGATTTATTCCCAGCTCAAGCCGTTGCTCTGGACGGTTCTGTTTCCCTCAGGCCTTTCTGCCTCCGCATACCCTCAGCCTGGGCCTGAGTGTCCATTTCTCCCAGGCATGCCTGTACCCCAGGCGTGCTCTGCCTGTCGGTCCGTCCATCTGTTTGTCCACTCCTTCAGGAAGCCCTGAGCCCTCCTGCATGATGGATGGTGTGTGGGGCTGGGGTGACACAGTGGGGCCCCTCTAAGAGGAACTTGCTACCCCTGGTGGGGCCTGTGAGAGCAGAATCTCCACGGCCCAGTTCTGGGCCAGGCCTGACATGGAAGGGAGAGAAACAGGCTGGCAGGCGTTAAGGGTGGGGCCAAGGCTGCTCCTCTGGGTTCAGGTGACCTTCCTGCTGCAGCCTCTGGAGTTGCTGAGGTGTAGGTGTGCCTGCTGCTTCTGCCCAGCCCGGCACTTGTGTGCCACATGGCCAGAGCGCCTGACCTGGCTGGCTGAGAGAACCCCACTTCCAGCTGTGCCTTCTCTGTGTCCCAGCAAGAACCGGTGCTCAGACACCATCTTTACCTCTGCTTTCCGGTGCATTGCTGCAGGCTCTGCAGAACATATCCCTGGAGCCAGAGCCCCTCAGCCACCGTGGGGCTTCCCTCCATCGCTGTGACCAGCAAGCAACCACTGTGTGTTCCCCTATGACTGCTGCCGGCCCCCAGGGAACCCTGCCTGCCCGGGCCCACTGCAGGGGGCGGCGGGCAGAAGCCACAGCCAGGTGCAGCTGCAGCTTCTCAGCTGCAAGCCCTGACTCCTCAGTCCTCACAGCCAGCTGGAGCCCTGAGGCTGCTGAGTGCTCATGGGGGCTGGGGTTACCACTCTGGAGACACACGTGTGGCCACTGTCACTGCCTGGGGACACAGGGCCCTGGTGGCAAGGAGCTGGGCCTGCAGCCCCGCCGCCCCTCAGGCCCCCAGCAAGGATGCAGGACTTCACGTCAGGAGCGGTGCTGAGGGCGGCTGCAGCAGCAGCCAGGCCTTGTCCTTGATACAGGGACACTGAGGCCCAGGTCTCTACTCCCGGAACACGGAGTGTGGGATACGGTGGGGGGCTCAGGTGGGAGTTCCATTCTGGGGTCCTTGGGGGTATGTCCTGGTCCCCACAAGGTCCAGGGGCAGTGGTAGGGATGGGGTGAGGGTCTGGCTGTACCTGGAGGGTGAGGCCAGCTGGTGCCAGGCCCTGGCTGTGGTGGGCCTGTCCTAACCAGCAGGAGATTGGGCTTCTAGGTAGTAGCACACAGCTGCAAGTCCCAGCATGGCCCACGTAACAGGCTGAACCTGAACAGTCCATGCTGAGCCTGTCTGTCCACTGAGGTCCCATCACAGTGTGGCTCAGGTTGGCCTGAGGTCGGCTGGCAGAAATTGCTGGAGTGGTGCAATTCGGTTCAGAAACAGCCTGCGTGTGGCAGGTTCCCCTCTGGTGTTGGTGGTGCCAGGCCACACTGTGCAGGGATGCCCCTGAGGAGTGTAGAACCTTCCAGCGCTATGTCCCAGACATCATGGCCTGTGAGCTTCCCGAAGGCCCCAGACTGTCGAGCAGCTTTTGCTCCAGAATATAAGATCTCCCAAGGGCAGGACCTTGTTCTTGACTTCACTGAGCCTTGGTCCCACAAGGTTGCCGTGGATGCCTGCGTGTTCAGAGCACACACAGGCCTCATCCCAGAGCAGAGCTCACAGCTGGCCTGCACCCACCACGAGGAGGGCAGACAAAGACGTGTCCTGCTGCCCTGGGGCCTCCAGCCATGACCATAGCAGACCCAGATCAGGGGCTAGGGAGGGGCCATAGGGAAAGGACATCCCACTGCAGATCTGTAGCCAGAGCCTAGCCCAGCTGACCCAAGCTGGGCTTGGGGGTCCTCAGATGGTGATCTTGGTGTGGAGCAGGCTGGGAAGAGGCTGTGTGAGCACGCAGCACCAAGCAACCTCACAGCAGCATCACTGTGCACGCAGCCCGGGCCACGCATCCCCGGTGGGCGCCCTTCTCGGACATCATCTGACGCCTAAACATTGTGGCATGGGCCTCCCACCATCACCTGGGAGGCTGAGGCTGTGGACCACAGGTACTGTTTCTCGTCCTCTTGCCTTAGACGCCTGTTTGCACCCTCTCCCCGACCCTTCTTGTGGTAGCCTCTGCTCCCTGAGCAGCACAGAACAGCATCCCGTGGCCAGGGTGTGGGTCGTTTCAGCCCCCAAGCACCGCCCAGTGGAGTGCATCCTTGCAGGCCACTAAGTGGTACCCTGTGACCCTGCTGGGCGCCACCTCCCTCTCTCTTCAGCAGGGAGCC